TTTCAAAAAGTCGCATTTTTGCAAAAATTTTGAAAATGCAGTATTTTTGAAAAATGGCACTTCAAAAATATTATTTCTCAAAATTTCTCATTGGACTATGTGATTATGATTTTTGTGTATGTAAAGTTTGTTCTTACTGATAATGTCTTTTTATTTGTTTTTGAAGCCTTTCATTGTTGTGTTCTTTTTGTCGTCTTATGATTTTTGTTTCGATTGTTGTTTTATAATTTTTATTTTAAGATTGTTTGCTCACATAAAATCTTTTAGTGATATTTTAGAACATTACAATTTCAATGATATTTAAAAAAAATGTTTATTGTCTTTAAAGATCAAAATTTGTGACATTTATGGATCTGAGTTTATGTTTTGTAGTCTTGGCATTAATAAATTAATAAAAAACTATGACTTTTGAACCTTTCCTCTTTAAAAAACAAAAAATTGATTTTATGGTTTGATATATTTTTTTTAAAAAAGAATGGTCTCCTTGTAGGTATATTCTTTTCTGCATCATTTTTTATCTCTAAAAATATAACAAATGATGAGTTAGAGACTAAGGTATGTGTCTTTCTACTATAAATATATAAAAAAAGATGAGAAAAAAAAGAAAAGGATTTTCGGGAGAGAGGTAAATGGAAGAGAAAAAACATAAAAATAAGGAGATAACAGTTCATAGAAGAAGACAACAATGAGATATTCCCTCACAAGTATCCTCACCAAAACAATACTTAAGAAATGAGTTATGACCCACTCTCCCTAAGAACTCTACACATCTTCTCTCTCATCCATTCGAAAATATTGAAGAGAGATCATGATCTTCATATGTGGTCCCAAACATAATCTACACTAATTTCTCTAAATAAGTTACTCTCCTGTGGTAATCTGCCTTAGGCGTCATACAGTTTTAAAGATGAAATCCCCTACCAAAAATCTTTCTGGCGATATTACCTATGCATGGGTGCTAAGCATGTCCAAAAGATCATATTGGCTATCTCACTAAAGACAGTAACTTAGGTAGATGCGTTTCCCATCTTCTAAGAAGACAAAATTTATATATGAAACTCTACGACTATTCAAATATGACACCAAAATTTTATGCAAGGCTACAATTTCGTACGAGGACCTAAAATCCAATGCAAACAAGTTTAAAGAGAAAAAGACCATGCGCTTCACCTAAAGAAGAGATAAATTATAATAATTTGTTTAAAAAAAAAAATTTCATACGCGTGTTTTGGTCGATTTTGTTTAAATTCGAACAATTAACTGATAGCTCACAAATATCTTATGTAGAACAAGAGAAAAAATCAAGTGGAACCTCATGAAAAAATTGTTCTATGAAATGACATAACGTAGAAGAGATTTTATTGCTGAAACAAACAAAATACCAAGTTCGATATAAAGCAGAATATGATCGAGAAAAAAATCAAACGTCTCGAGAGACATCATTCGAAATCGAAACAACTTGGATTTCACAAAGTAGTCCAATTCCAAACTTATCCAACATGTTTTTCATTGTGTTATGACAAAAAATAAATGTTACCATAGATTATATTATTATCAATTTATATTACGTTTTTTAATTATATTTTATCGAATGTTAAATGTATAATATATTAAAATTATGTGTTCGTAACTTGAAATAAGTAATATTCTGTCTTGAATGTAAAATTTTATATTATAATTTTAAATTAAATTTTTGATATTGTCTGCATAGTATTTCTTCATTTTGATATCAATATCACATGCATCTGTCTTATCTGTATCCACCATATATAAAAATATCAATTTAGATATTTTCACAACATGACGTGGCCTTTTCTCTATCTCTACCAAACTATCCATACCACTTTTTTTGTTTTTCTTCTGCACTTTTTCCGCCACGTCATCATATCTTTCGCTAAAATATCTAACGCGCACTTTCGAAGAAACTTTCAATCTCCACCGTCTATTCTCTTCCTCTTTCAACGCTTCAGATTTACCATCTCCCATTTGCCTCTTCTTCGCAATCTCATCATAATTTGACCATTGGTGTGACCAAAAAAACGAGTCTGGTTTCTCTCACTCTCCTTCTCGGAAATTCTCTTACCTTTCTCATCTCACCGCCGGCGTTCGTTCGCCGGATCTCCGGTGATTCTTGTTGAGCTGAGCTACTACTATTGATTCTTGATTCAGAGAAAAAGAATCTCACTTTGTGTTTTTTTTCTTTCTTGTCTGGTTTTGTTCTTAGATTAAGTTTTTTCCATGGACAAATTAGGTTGGGGGGGGGGATTAAGAGAGTAGTTTTTGTTTGGTTGTGAAATTAAGTGACTTTGTAGGGACAAATTAGGCAACTTTATAGGGACACTGCACACCGAAACCCTAGTTCTGATTTGGTCATGGAAGTGTCGTAGCAGTTACTATTGTCGGGTTTTATTTGTTGTAATTTTGTTATAATTTTGTTTGGTTAGGGAAGGTTAGTTTTCTGTGATTAGGATTTTTTTGTGGGTTTATCTGTAAATCTTGATCATGGATTTGAACGGAGAGTGTAAGGGAGGAGATGGGTTCATTGACAGAAGCAGAGTCAGGATTTTGCTTTGTGACAATGATTCCAAGAGCTTGGGAGATGTTTTCACTCTCCTCTCTGAATGTTCTTATCAAGGTATGATTTTTAATTTATTGGAATTTTTTGTTTTTGTTGTCAAAAAATCCT